TTTTCCTAAGGACGATAAATGAATTTGTTTAGTTTTCTTTCAAGACGTTAAAAAAGTTGCTTCGTTTTCAATTGTTCAACATAGCATTAACAGATTAGTGTACAAGTGCCACATGGCCTGGACAGATCATGTTATTAACTAACTCCAGAGTCAACAGCTGAACAAACATAAACAAACAATCGAAAGGCGACAGCGAAGACATTCGAAGAAGAAGTAGAATGCTTGAGAAACGTTTCCTTCATTTTAAAGAGCAAACAGTCTGTCATAAATTTAACCACAGTCACCGAGGTGGCTGAGGCGCCGCTTGACCATAACTCAAAAGTTCAAAAAGGGCTCTTAACCCGCTGCTTGAGGCTGTGGCTAAAGCTGCAGCAAAGCTAAACAAATACGTATGTACACAGACAGTGGCATGAAAATAAATTAAAAATGTGTGAAGCTTAGCACACAATGAGAAATATACACACAGACGCACACCCGCACACACACTCACAGACATATTAAGCAACGTGACTTGCCAGCCTGCTGCTAAGTACATATGGACTCAAGTGTCTCTGTGTGTGTGTGTGTTCGTTGGCTTGTGCGTCTATACATATTTAGCATGTTATGAAAAATGTATACACAGGCCGGCTCAAATGGGTCTGGTGTCTCGAATGCAATGCCTTTGTTTGTCTAGCACGTCCCAACAGCAGCCAGCCTGAGCTGGGGCTGGAGCCGTAGCCAGAGCCGGAGAGGCAGCTAGCTGAGGCTTCTATCAGGCGGCATCAGGCCCGCCAGGCTACGATTTAATGACAAAAGTTATGACGACAAATGACTCAGTTGACTTTCACTAGTAGGAATCAGAGCTCGGCCACAATGGGACTATGAATCATATTTCTTCTTCGCTTGATTTTCATTTCCATTTCCATTTTCGCATTTCACTTTTTCACTTCTGCCATTCTGCTGCGCGCTGATTTCGCAGCAAATTTTAAAGCATTCGCCCATTTATCATTATGCAAATTGTTAATTAATTTTATATAAATATATATAAACGAGCCGAAAAAATTAATTACGCATAATGTGGACGCTTTTATGCATGGCAAATAATTACGACACGCAACAAAGTCGCTGCATTTGCTAAAAAAATTTATGTAAATTGCAATTTGTTAATCAACTGTATTTAGAGTAAATTGAAAGATAAAAAACAAAAAAAACAACAAAACTTATCTACATGTTCAGCTCGGCACTAAAGTTTTTCAAATTGATATATGCAAATGTGTGTGCTGTAAGTCGGCCTTATCACACGCTGCGAACAGTAAATTGAAAATTGCATAATAATTTGCTATGGTTTATAATACGGCGTGTAATAGTAGATTTACAAAATGAATAACAAATCGTTTAAGTACATTTAAATCAATTTCATTTTGTGATAAATTCAGAACTAAAATATAGAATTTGCTGCTGTTCAATTAAGCTTTTATTATGATATTTGTAAATGGTTATCTAATATATATATAGATATAGTTATGCTTGTGACGGGTGCTGTTTTCAGAGTTGTAGAAGCTTAAAGCATAATAAAACAATAAAATATATTTTTTTTATCAAAAGAACGTTATGTTTTGGATAGGTAATTTTATGACATAAATTTTTGAATATTATTTTGGCCATGTGGGCTCAATGGCTGACGCTTATATGGCGCAAGCTGAAAAATAAATTTCCAAAATTATTTAAATCAGGTGCAGCATATTTTCTAAGACTTATGTACCAATGGTGTAAACTCAAGAGCAGCAAAGAGTAATTTTCCGTGGATGTTATGATATCACACTTCCAATTGTGAGAATTCCGCTTATATACTTATTCATACATCATTCTGTACGCCATAAAATGAACAAAGTGAATTATTTTCCTACAAATTGCCACAATTGCAAGCGTTGCTTTGGGATAAGTCTGTGCATAATAAAATCTCAGGCTAAACTCAACCATCAGCTGTTAAATGGGCACTAAAATAAAACACACTTTGTATAACTTTAGTTATTGATACAAATCTGCTTCTCTTCACAGAGCAGCAACAATATTTATTATGGCTTCATTTCATTTGTTCAAGCATAAGTTTGATTAGGTCGAACAACTAATTAATGGCTTGGACATTTGTCAGCCTTTGGTTGCAAAGGCTAAATGGCAAACGAGTGGTTAAAGTATTAATAGCAAGTCAAATAAACCTGGCTTAGTTTCAACTGAACAGACACAGACACTCAGAGATAGAGAGAGAGCGTGCATAAACTTGTTAGCCATAAATTAAGATAATATTACGCCACTTGCCGCTAAGCAAACGCCTGTCAATATTTGTGCATTGTGCATGTCCCTCTGATTTGCAAATCGCATCAAGCCGATAATAAATTGGCCTCAAACTCAAAATTGAACTAATAATAATTGCTAAAGTGCATGGGCAGACAACTTCACAAGGCTTCAGGGCACTTCTGGGCCTCTGTAGAGCTTACTCTCAAATTTCTGATTTCATTTAAGGTCAATAGAGCCAGGCTCGCACACACATGGCTTTAACTTTGAGTATTATTTACTGACACACAGGCCGAAGGCTAAAATGTGCCACAAAGTGGCTGCTCGTCCTTGTATTAATTCAATTTTATTACGCATACGCATCGTGTGTCGCACAGAATGACACGAAGTAAATACAAGTTGCACAAATGTCCTTTCAAGCCTACCTTTTTGCCTGTGCGTAAATCTGCAATGCAGCAGCTTTAATTGTGCCTTGGTTGACAAGTCAGTTGCAAACACCACCCACCGCCCACCACCCAACGTCGATGTGCAATCACAACACACTTCTCTACTGCTGCAGCAATTAATTAGCGTACAGCATTGATTGTTTTGTCTATTAGATGTGCACTTCAGCTGCGCCTTACGCAACAATCACGCTTAGCTTAGATATATTATCCTAAATAGTATTATCTCGCATTAGTGGTCATTAACAGCAAAAGCTGAATCTTCATGCGCAATTATGTAATTTGAAAAGATATTAATAATAAATCAAGGTATCTTCATGAGAGTACAAGCTAAGACCATTGCCACAAGAGCTGCTGCTTAAGATAAGAGAAAGGGAGAGGGGGAGAGAGAGAGCGAGAGCGAGAGAGATATATAGAAATAGAGAGAAAAAGAAAGAGAGAGAAAGAGACATAGAGAGGCGAGAAAGAAAGAGAGTAAAAAAGAGACTGATGGAGAGTTGAAAACAAGGAGAGAGTGAGAGAGAGAGGAGGAGTAGAGAGAGAGAGAGAGACTCAGACTTTCCACCAGGCAGATCAATGTACGGAATCATCAATATCGTAACGATCCAGACGCCGATCATTTTGAAGGCATTCTTATCCTATCCTTGTGTCGATCTCATATCATGTTCTTCGTTTAGTGCTTTAAGCACTACTTGCAAAGTTCATAGCAAATAAGTTTACTATCAATCAATTTATATTGCAGGTGTCACAGATATTGTATCAAAGGCTCTGTACGTAAAGGTTTGGAAAAAAATGAATTAGTGTCCAATGTACTAGTAAAATTAATTACCTCCAAGTACCTGAGCTAGCTATGTGTCTGTCCAGATTTAATTTGAATTAAATTTCTAAGAAAAATCTGTTTAAATTTGGAGAGAGCCTTCAGCAAGCATAAAAATAAGCTATTTCAACACTTAAACTATTTCAACATATAAACTATTTAAATAATTGATTATTATCAACAATTGCATGAATATAATGGCAACAAATGTTCAGACTTCTTTAGTCACAGGCAGTTTTCAGTACAGCAAAAACTCGTCCATATGGAACGCTCAACTCCTTTTCATTTTTAAATAATTTTAGTTTATTGAACTCTCTCATATTTAATCGAACTCATTCTTTGGAGTATATAGAGTGCTGCTCTATCAAAGCGCATACTTATTTTGGATTTTTAATATTTTACAGCCGTGGCTGTAGGCTTGGCTGGCGTTGAGCTTTGTGCAATTGCTTTTCCCGGATATTGTTGTTAGTTTTTACTTTTGAGTTTGCGTTTTTGTTTGCATTTTGTGGTTCTTTTGTTTTTTGCACGGCCTGCATTCAGATTGCTTTCGTTGTTGTTATCCGTGTTGCTGTTGTTATTGTTGATGGTGCTTGGCTGCTGTTGCTGCTGCAGTAGCTGGTGCTGCTGCTGCCGTGTCCTATTTGTATCCTGTCGGCTGCGGCACCTCGCACACATTTATGTCTATTGGCGCGCGTCCATTTCCATTTCATTTCCGTTATTGCAAAACTTTTCGTATTAAATATATTTTTCTCTGTTTTGCTTCGCATGCCGCGCGCTGCGATTGTTTCATTTCGATTGTTGTTGCTGTCGCTATTGTTGTAGCTGTTGTTGGGTTTTGCACTTTTGCAAAGTTGTTTGTTGCTATTATTTCTGGTACTTTATGCGCCCGTTGCCATTATTGCAGTTGTTTCCTTTATTGCACTAGTAAGCATAAAAATGTTTGCATTTGCATATAAATATATAAACATTATATATATAAACTTGTACATATGCAACTGCTCTGAGCCCACCTCATTTAGTGCGGCATACTTAAGAGCCGTTGAGATTTCTGTAGAATTGACATGCAATTTGTTATAATTGCCACAGCGCCCAGCGCGCGCTATTCACTGAGGCAACTCGGCCAAATAATCTGACCCTGATTAGCCAGCAGCCAGCAGGCAGCAGGCAGCTTGTTGTTGCTGCAATTAGCATGTTGCGCTGCCATAAATAAAATTAACCACAATGCCCCAAACAACATGGCCAACAATGCTGGCCCCCGCCGCGCTCAAAAACTACAGCTCAACTCCGTTAACAGCGATACAATTGTTCCATACACTCTCCATCTGCAGCACTGTGCAAACGCTTTACAAGCTTTCATTAATAAAGAAATAAGAACAGAGAACAATTTAACTTTAATGATAAATTTCCTAATCGATTAAATTCTACTGAGATCAGCAGATTTAATTTTGTCACAGATATTCGAAATATTGATCGAAGGACGCTTGAGCTCGTGTAGCTAAATCCTTTATATAATTTCTTCGACAGCATATTTTGTATTTGGTGCGTAGCGCAACAAAAAGTTTCTCATATATATATATTTTTTTTTTGACGGAATTTTGTTGAGTTTTTGCACAAATGAAACAAATGTTTTTGCATATTTTATGGCCCAGTGCATTGTGCAAACTGCCGAATTCGCCGCCGACCGCAGAATTTTGCGCATTTAAATTAATGATACGAAATGTCAGCGAAATGTTCCACCGCAAATCACAAATTATTTTGTGTTCTTTTTGGAAATTCGTTTCAGTTATGTGAGGGCATCTTAAATTTTCAATTTTTTCGGTTTTTTCTTTGTATTGGAGTCGTGGGAGATGTGAAATGGAAAATAACTCAAGTTGGCCTAGGAAAGAACGGCATCCTTGAACCAGAAGGACATGCGATCTTCACGGCAGCGCTTGAGTGGCTCATTTTGTGTGTACATGCGAATCAGAGAATGAAAACGATTGTGTTTGAGCTCATTTCCGGCCCTGAGGCGATCACTGAGCTGTGCTGCCTTCTCGCATAAGGCTTTCGTAGTCGTCATCGACATTTGCATTTCCTTCTTAATGTAAGCAGCCACGTCCCTTACCGAGGCTCTGCTGCCATCGAAGCACACTGGTGCAGCTGCTGAATCGTTTGCTTTAGACTTCACTGAAACATTATCTGCTCCGTCTTCATTTGTCTTAGACTTGATCGAAACACGGGAAACATTATCTTCGTTTTGGTCCTTAGTCTTGGATCGGACAGAAACATGAGATCTGTTATCTGCTTGATTAGTCGCGTTGGACTTAACCGAAACACGCGATAAGTTATCTGTATTGCGCTCATTAGCTTTTGACATAACTGAAATACGGGATTTATTATCTTCATTGATTTCCTTAGCCTTGGAATTGGCAGATATACGCGATATGTTATCTGCTTGAGGATCAGTCGCTTTGGACTTAACCGAAACTCGTGATTTATTGTCTGTTTCATGATCGGGGCCTTTTGACTTAATTGAAACACGGGATTTATTATCTTCATTGTGGTCCTTAGCCTTGGAGCTGAGAGAGACACGTGATATGTTATCGGCTTGAGGTTCAGTCACTTTGGACTTAACCGAAACTCGTGATTTGTTGTCTGCTTGACGATCAGTAGCTTTCGACCTAACCGAAGCACGAGATATGCTATCCGCTTGACGATCGTTAGCCTTAGATCTTATAGAAACACGCGAAATGTTATCCGACCTGCCTGAAACGCGAGAAGCATTGTCAGCCTGGGCAGCATTCGCTGCCATGGACACACTGTCTCCATGAAGCTTCTCTTCAATGCCACCAGCACCTGTGCGATTGTGACTCACTGATGACTGATTTGCTTCGGCATTTTTCTTTATTGTATTCAAGTTGGGCTTGGCCGTCAGTGTGATATTCGATTCAGTACGTTTGCTGAAATGCGAGGGCATGCTCATGTTATCTCTATGCTGGTTAAAGTTCGACTTATTCGCACTCATACCCGAAGGCGCCACTGACGGGATATCTGAAACGGACACGCTACTTGCCTTAGAATCCAAATCAGTTTTTTTGATAGGCATTATTACGTTCAAGGAACTTTTACTGTCGTCTGTCTCTGGCGCAGCACTCTTCGGCTGGAGGCCAGCGTTAATGCGCCCCTCATCAATGACGCTTTGTTTGGCAGCGGTCATTTCCTCATTGATGGCTTTTGAAATTGAAACTTCGCCCCTTTGCGATTTGATAACTCCAATATCATTTTGCTGAGCGAGCGAGTCTTTCGAAATAGATCTCATGTTATAACCCTTCGGTGGCCAAGTCTCATATAGAGGCTGCGGATATATCGTACTGCTTGGCTTCTTGTAACTGCAGCACTGGCTCTGACTGGGCCCCACGCTGAATGGATTGAAAAGAACGCCCATTTCATTCATAAACATATTGGCTATGTTCTTAAAAAACAGCCCGGCCAAAGTATTCCAGCTGACTCACAATCTAGTCCTCAAACTTAGTATAAGAAGCTTAGGCAAATGTGAGATTTCCTTCTTTGTGTTTCAAATACCAAAGCTACCTATATTTTATTGCATTTTATTTTTTCAAGGACTAGACAAAATATCTACACAATGGTGAATTTTTGAAGGAACTAAATGAAAAATATATCAAATATACAAAATTCAATTAGTAGTCTGAATATTGATTGAAATGACAAGTTTTTCTGATTGATGTGATTGCCTAGAAAGCATCTAAAGGGAGTACAGCTAGCTTTGTGATAGTGAGTTACAATATAATATATGTATTGAATACAACCTAAATATAGACAGAGCTCTGAAATATTGATCTGTTAAACCAACTGCAGAACTAATAAAGCAAGGCTGATGGCATTTGCTTTGATGTTCAGCATCTAGAGATAGGCCTTGATTAGATCCATGCAGCTCCTCGTCCTGAAAATGATGTTATGTTACTAGCAATGTGCTTGCTATTGTTATTGTTGCCTTGAGCATATCAAATAGCACATAAATTTGAATCTAATATCATGAACAGTGAAGTCGAAGCTCAATTCCCCTGCTTGTTACATATGCAAGCAGACAATCAATACAATCATATGCTTCTGTATGTCTGATATTACTTTGAACATAAACTAAGACTTCTAGAAATTGCTTAAATTCATAAGCAGCCGCATCAAAGACGCACGAATTTGAATACTTTCAGTTTATTACGGTTAAAATCTTAAATAAATTATTTAGTTATCATCCTGGCATTATAATATGCAGAATTTAAATATATATGTGTTTAGCATAAATTCCTTTTAAAAACTTGTAGACACACGAATCGCTTGTCAAGACGATTAGTTATAATAGACTTCCAGGCGTTTACTCAGCTCAGCCGCCCTCGCAACAAGGACTTGCGTGAGCCTTGTTGACTCATCTAGATCCCGTTTTATTGATTCAGCCACCTGCTTCATCGATGGTGTGACCCTGTTGAGTACGTGTATTGGCCTCAAGACACGGGAATCTTTGCCTCTGATCGTTGATTGGGATCGCGCACCAGACGTCAGTTCTGGCTGAAAGCTAGAACGACTTCCTTGTGACCTTCGTGAAAGGCCCGTAAAATTTGAATGGCCACCTGCGTTTTCACGCCTGCTCATCCAAGACGATGACAGTTTGGTTTCCCTTTTTTCCCGGTGATTCGATTTTGAGCTGTGTTGGACCAAAGAACGTGAACTCTTCGACTTGCCACCTATGTGATAGCGTACTTCCTCAGCCAATTGCTTTTTGGAAGCGCTCATCTCTTTGTTTATCGCATTGGAATCTGTAACTTCACCCAATAGCGATCGATTTTTTTTGAGCACTTCTGACTGTGACTTGCGCATGGTGGCCCGCGATACTGATCTGTTCACGTGTTCCTTTGGCTGTGGCCATGTCGCATATACAGGTGGTGGATACGTTGGAGTGCTAGCGGCAACGTAATTATACCCTTTGCTCTCGACTGGCCCAATGTTGAAAGGATTGAAGGGCTCGCAATATTCATCCAGAAACATTTTGGCAATCTTTAAAATATTGTATGCAGACAATATATATTTAGATGATGTGTACAATTCAGCTAAATCAATCGATGTATCCAGGACACGATGCTGGAACACTAGCTCTTTTCTGCGTGTTGCCTAACCAAATACTATTTTTTTTAATGGTTATATTAATGCATTTTTATTGACCCGGATTTCGATAAATGCACACTATTATGTAACTGAAAATTTCAAATAAACTGAATTAAAATTACTAAAATCAAGTGTGACTTTGATGCTGGAAGCTGCACAGCCTTCATGGCTTGCTGAGCTACATTCTACAATTGCAGGTTGATTGTTTGCTGCCAGCTAATTCTCTTTTTACTTTTCGTTAAGATCTCGCAAATATTAATATTAAATATTCATTTTAAGTTTCTATTTTAATATTTTTATTGTTTTTAATTAGCACAGTTGAGACCAGTTATGCGTCTATGTAATACATCATCGAAACAATGTGATATTGTTATAGGCTTCAATGCGGTTGCTCAGCTTGGTGGTCTTTGCGATTAGCGATTCTACTTTCTTTATGTATCGAACCAGCTGCCTTCTAAGTGAAGCAATCACAATCTTCAGTACCTGTCTGGGATTGCTGGTAGTGTCTGAGTTGGTGTCATCCGAGCCATTTGGATATCCTTTCAGTGGAGCATGGGAGCAGAGTCCTCGACTTTTTGTCTTGGACCTTGATGCGTGAAGACTGGAAGTCTTTATCCTTAAATTGGACTCTGTGCGTTCAAGGTTATATCGGTGTCCCTTTGCAGCTGAAGAGGGAATCGGGTTAATTAGCTTCGAATTCCGGCGGTCCTTCAACGTTTGTCTAGATCTTACCGATGTCGTCGAAGTCTCTTTGGAACACATTTCTTTTGTAATTGTCCCAACATTGAACGGACTAAAGAATACCTTATTATCACTCATAATATCAGACGAAGTTCTTAATAAATCTCGAAGTTAGTTTGCTGTAAGTATTATATAATTCTATTTCATTGTTCACCCACAGTATAATCCGGAGAGCAAATTACGATATACTGATAGGATCTATCCGACAATGTAACCGAAATAAATTTTAACTAACTTAATTTTACTGTTCACTGTGCCAAAACCAAAACCGAACTAAACTTAACTCTTCCATGCCGAAGCTTAACAAAATTATTAACGTCGTTTACATGGAATACTATGTAGATCCTGAAACAGCTTTACTGTTTGGTTTCCTAAGAACGATAACATCTAGCAGTGTAAGCTCTTGCCATTAGACAGGGACTTTCGCGTACATGAATAAAAGTCTTCAATTCATTAGACTAAATGCTTTGTCACGGCGCCTACGTTCGTCTGAGAGAGTGAGGCGTCGGGCAAATGCCGCGTCAGCTGACTCCTACTTCAACTCGGGCTTAGGAATATTTTAATTAAAAAGGCCAAAACACCGAGCTCTGAGCTACACATATTGTAATCAATGTTGCAAAGACTTCGAATGTACGTGCTGATAAGGCCGTTGCCAGACAAAAGGCTGCCACTGTCGCTGGCTGACAGTCGGCTCTTGACAATTTACTTGCTGCATGGCACAAATTAATGAGTTCCTGCACTCAGTGTGTGTGGCAAGGGGGTGTGGCATGCCAGCCTGTGTGTGTGTGTAACTCCTTTGTTGTCTCATCTCTGTCGAGTATTTGTCAAGTTGATTCATGTAATAGGCATTGCATTTAACTTCGGCACATTGTTGTGAAAGATTTTCAAGTCGTTTTGGGCAAACAAATGCCAGTTGAAAAATATTCATCAAGCTAATGCCATTTGCAGGCTTTTATTTTATTTAGATGCTAAATTAGTTGGTGTTATTTAAAATTCGGCATTAACTTAGATAACTCGTATGATGGCTGAATACCAGAAATCGATTCCAACGAACTACATTCAGCAAGCATCGGGCGACTGCATTGGCAGCGGTATCTACGGCAATGGACTGGTATTGAACAGCCACACATATCCTTTTCCAGTTGGTAGGATGCCAATGCAACCGCCGGTAGTAAGCAACACGCACTACAAGTCCCTGCCGGGCATGGCACGGCACACCAGATCAAGGGCAAACATAAGGCGGGAGCGTCAGATGCAACAACGGCCTCAAGCACCTGGAGTGACGCAAACTATGTCCCGTTTCCCGTCCCAGTCCCAGTCGCCATATGTGCCACAGCAAAAGAAACGGCAACAGCAGCAGCCGCCAATGCGACAAGAGGAGCAGGAAGAGCAACAGCAACATCTACAGCAACATCAACAGCAACAGCAACCGCACCAGCAACAACAAGATCAACAACAGCAGATGCCAACACTGCAACAACAACAACAACTGCAGCTGCGTCAACAGCAACAGCTTCTTCTATTCCAACAGCAGCAATTGCAGCGACATCAGCAGCAAATGAATGGGATGTTCGGCGTTTGGCCGTACGGTCGCACTTCCATGTACAACAGCTCGCCACCTTCCTATCCGCTGTCGCAAGTGTGTAATTATGGATCGTTGAATCCACACAGCTCAAGTTTTTGGCCCGGATATACAATGGTCAAATCTCCAGATTCCAGTATACCGTTCGCTTTCGGTTTAGGCTGCACAGATGTAAACGAAATTACGAATACAATTCTTTAAGTTAAATATATTTATGTCCAGCTTTTGGTCAAGTCAAATACCATTGTTTAACTGCCAAGTTTTGCTGTTCTGCAGCCTCTATAGCTCCATAGCGGATGGAGCATTCAGAAACTCGCCAGAAATACAAAAATGCCTTTGACCAAACCTTGGCTAACGACTAAATTTCTTACATATATCATTTGAGTCATTTGGGAGCAAGCTTCAACAAAATTTTATGTGACCCTGTCCAACTTACAGTTTACACATCATCGAGCTGGATTCGGGCGTGTGCTGGCTGAGCGAGTGTCATTTAGTGGTAAATTTCCGTCTTAGTTACCAACGAATGTCATACGTGACATTTTTCAAATTCTGTTTTTAGCATTCCTTAATCGGGCCACATATATATATATATATAAATATACAAATATACAAATATATATCTATATATATATAGATATATGTATACATATGTGTGCATGTGTGCGGCAATGGGAATGGAATGATATCTGAATACTGGCAGCTGCTAGGCACCTATCTGTCCGTGGTTTTGCCTTTGCCACTTGTGCAGTGTCTGTCTCTGACGTTTTCTCGTTTATAGATTTTTCTAATTATTTTCTGTCTGAGCAGAGCTGCGCAGTTATTTTTAATATTCGTTGAACGGTTTGCCAATAATTATGAGAAGAGTTTTTCTTTAATAAATTGAGGTTTTGCTACAGATTATTCGACGACTCTTTGAACAACAAACTTCAATAAATCTGCAAACCATTTTCTAATTAAATTTAATTATTTATATTTTTAACTCTGAGCAGATGCCCAAGAAATGAATAGAAATTTGCAATCAAATCAATTTAAAAATTTCTAATACTCCAGATTTAAAACTAATTAATAAATATATAGGTGCCTATATATATATATTTATATAAATAATTTAATTTCATAATTAAAGCACTTAAAATGCAAATTTCAAGACTTATCAGTGCGCTTTACACTTACACAGAAAAATCAATTAAAACTTTGCCTTCAACTCATTTGCATAAATAAACCTGACTGAGTATAGCAGATTATCTAATAATTAATAGCATGCATGCCTGATGTCTTCAACTTATTCTGCTTCTTATGTGACAGTAACGTCTGGTGCTACCAAGTATTCCACTTAAAAGGACTCAAAGCGAAAGTTGAAAGAGCGGCTCAAACGCCGCTGCTGCTGCGGCGTACATACGACGCAACTTTGTCTAATGATGATCCCTAAAGTCAACTTGCTAAAGTAACAAGAGCTCACAAGCGCACACACACACACACTCAACACACACACAAGGAGATAAGCTTATACACACGGCTACTACGCTGCTCATAAGCACACAATGGTATTAACGCCATAATTCGTAAGTTATAATACACACACAGTCACACACACAGTCACATACACACACGCCCCATACATGCACACCACAAAAGGATTAAGTTATATTAAAGTTGTGAACGTTGCATTTTAACTAAGTTTCGCACGCTGTGGCACTGCGGCTGTGGCAGTGGCAGCGGCTGCTTTTGTGCCTTTGACACTTTTGGCTTATGGTGAATGTGAAATGGCGTCAATAAATGCGTTGCATCCAAGTTGAAGCAGCCAAAAAGTATGCTATGCAAATTTAATGCAGCTTTATGCCACATAATAATAATAGCAGTAATAATAATAATAATAATAATAATAATAACTTTGCACGTATTTGCCGTACAAAGCCAAGACCAAAATATGACAACAATTTATACACTGGCAAAGAATTCGACCCGAAGCGCAGGCAGCAGCTCCTGCCGCACTTTCATTTGCCTGCTTTTACTTTGTGGCATAATAAATTTATAAAATTTATACAGTGTTCTTAAAAGGTAGAAAGAGTATAGCGCAGAGCAGCACATATATCGCAAGCCTTTCAAATCTGTTTGCCATGGACTATATGCCAACAGCAAGCTGTCTTCTATATGAATCAATTTTTTTGCTTAGTTAACTGCATATTGAATTCGACAAAGGCTTTTGTATGCAAAAGATTTAGTTTCAATTTAAATTTATAACGTATTTAACATTGACTAGAGTTTGAGACTTGTTTCGGCTCTGTACGAATTTGATTTTCGCTGAAGACTCTTATATTATATTTCTTTTTGATTAGATCTCGTCGTATATGTTTCCTATTACATCTCTCGTTTTATATCCCTCTCACATCTGTCCTCACATTTCTCCTCATATTTCTCCTCGCCCCTCTCCTTACATCACTCCTCTCATATATCTTCACTTCATTTATAATATACTTTAATCTCTTTCTTCTATCACTTCCTCTTTTCTTCAGCCAACTTCAGAGCATCTGCTATTCGTTGATCATAAGTAAAATCTTATTTTATATACAGACTCTCAGCTGCAACAGCCGATGACCCGTGGTGGTGCATTCTGCGTGAAGTTCCAGGTCAAGTATTAATTTTTTTACCTGTCCTCTTCTGCTCTTCATCTTTTTTCACTCTGTAGTCCCGCACTGATGTTATATTTTAACGTGTGCGCATTTTTATGGGCAAACTTTGCTGAAAGTTTTTAAATTTACAAAACAACAAAAAAAGGAGAATAGCAACGGTCAGTGGCTCGGAATATGAAAAGAGCTGGACGAAAAATGAAATCAAATAAATTGCATTTCTTCTGCTGTTAGTTTTACGCATGCCACTCCGCTTATAGGCACTTGGTCGAGTATTGAACGACTGCATTTAATTACTTTCGAGCCGTTGAACATTGCTTTTAATTGTTTGTTTTTTTTTTGCATTTCGCTTGTAATTTACATTTTGAGCACTTTCGCCGCAAGCCGAGTTGAAACAAAGCTGCAATTAGCCGCAGCTCTTCAAAATTATTGCACTTAGCTGGCTGTGCAGCTGCTGCTACATTTACTCGATTTCATCTTTAAGAATTCATATATCTAAAATGTTCGCTTTCAAATGTAAACACTTCACGGCTCTGCCGTGTCTAATATAACTTATGTGTGGGTGTGTGCGTAGGAGCCATAAAACCAAGCTTCATGCTCAACCAACACTTGCAAAGCATACAACATAAATGCGGTCCTCAGAACGAGTTAGCTTAGCCCAGCAGCGTCAACTTGTTGAAGTGTTTGCTGTTTGAAGTCCCGCCGTGTTGCCATCTAAATACATAAAACATTTACCCGAATAAGCTTTCCATTGCAAATGGCTAAGCTGAGCAAACTCATCAAGCTTTATCTAGCTACTCAACATAAACCATACGCAAAGCCTCCTGCCGTGTTCTTTTAAATATTGTTTTATGTCTTTTAAAATTAATTTAATAAAAGGGGTTGATGCACTGGCACGCATAAGGCAGCAGCAGAAGAAGAGTTTAACTCACTCTGATATGTGCCGAAATATATTTTCCATTCAGCAAAGTTTCTACTACTTAAACTAACTAGTCAAATGCATTAAAAAAGTCGTGTAACAGTACGCAGCGATAAATGTCTTTAATATATATTCAGATTACTATATATTCGCAGACTTGTTTACGGTTGTTGGTTGATCGTCGTCCACCAGCAAATCAATATCGGAGTATTTAATTTTATCAAGTTCATTATATACGCACGGGCTCATCGTAATTTCGGGATACTGTTAATGATGCACAAGCAATTATACTTCAATTTACTGCAATATTTCCTAATACCCTACCTGTTTGGCCATTTTCCAGCAGTTTAATGCCAGCTTATTGCGACCCAATCGCAAGTTTATAATAGCCAAGAAGCCCCAGGAATCGGGCAGATAGATATCAATTTCTGTGGTGCGCGCCAGATAAGCAATAGCGTCCTCAAGTCGATTCAGCTGCAAATTGGCAAATACTGAAGGCTGCCTAGGAACATGAGAATTCAGCTCTTACGTAATAGAGAGTTAGGCCCATGCCATAGTTGGCCAAGAAGTTCTTTTCCAGCTTGGACGAGGGCACGCACAACTCATAGGCATGCAGAGCGACCTCATAGTCCCCGAATTCAAAACTTAGGTGGGCCAGCCGAAGTAATCCTAGATAGAACAAAGATAATGTAGACGTGTTGGTCTTTTCGATATAAAGCAGCTCCTTAAAGCATTCGATGGCCTGAGGGTAGCGGTGACGCGAGTACTCCACGTGGCCATTGATGTGAGCTTGATGAAATTTCTGTTAGCAAACACATGAAACTCTAGCAAGGTCATCAAGGTCACATCGACTACTCACGATCATCTTGCCACTTTCCGACCTATTAGTGGGTAGATTGCGCACTTTGAAATTCCCGTCAATTTGACCCTGCAGCATCTTCAGTGTGGTGGTCACCAAATAAGTTTCGTTGACCGTAAAGTCTTTTGCGATTTGATTGTAAACCGTCTCTGCGAAAGCGTAAGCGCCCAATCTAGCAAAAGTCTTGAAGACTCCATAGAACTTCACGACATGTGCGCTCCGGTCGGTTAGATCGAAATTCGCCGGCAAAAATGCCTCGAAGAGCGGAGTAGGTGTCAGCAGCATTTTTCTGCTAGGCACGTGATAAAGGTTTTCATACTTCCAGCGCGTATACTCCATGCCTGACAAGTAACCCTTCTCTTGGTAATAGCAGTACAGCAGTATCCACGCCTCGCAGTCTAAGTTGTTGGCGGTGGCGAAATTACGCAGTTTTGCAATCATATTACTGAAAGCTTGCGGCGGCTTCATATCCATATTGACATTCGGCAGCATCTTCGCCTGCAGCATCTTCGCCGGCAGCATCTTCGCCGCCATCTTCATCTCCTGCTCCCTCCTCTCCTTCTCCTCCGTCTCCGCTTTCAGCTCAACTTGATAGTCAATGTAAAGCTGCAGCAAGTTCCTGCGTAGACAAAAGTTACCCATGTCACACTCTAGCTCATCATAAGTCAACCTCAAATACACACACAAAGTACTCGCCATCCCAATTGTTCTCCACCTGAGTGAGCAAATAGGTCTTGGCATAATCAAAGTTGAGATTCTGAACAGAGTTAAGGAATACGTAAAAGTTTAACAAAATTTTGCTGGAACAAGCAGACTTGAGCTCAGCAAATAGCTGATCGGCCAGGCCACATTCGCCGACCATGCACAAGCTTCGGTGCTCGTCCAAGAGCCGGCGCAAGCGCTGCTGATCGCGCTCTTTGTTTAAAACACAATTGCCGAGAGCCTCCCAGCCGCAATCATTCAGGATTCGAATAATGCGATCCATCAGATCCTTGTACATGTGCGTGAGCATCTCCTGGAAGGACGTAGATTAAATTGAAAGTTGACAGAGACATAAATATAGAGAGCGAGACAGGTGCTTACGCGAAACTCTATGTTGTTCTTGGTGGGCATGCTGACATTGAAGTCATAGCCGCAGATGTTGATTAGTAAATTGTTCAGATTGTTGATGGTGCAGCAGAAGTAGTTGCGCCGATCGTCAATGCTCGTCACATCGTGCTTGATGATGTAACTAATCACATCTTTAACGAGCTCGTCGAAGCGACGATACAACTCCTTTAGAATATCAGAGTTGCTCTTTTCCACATGAGGATTGACTGTGAAGCAGCGTTGCAGCTGGCCCGCCTTCATATTGCTCTCATTATAGGTATCCAGGGGCTCATGGTGCTTTGTCAGCGTGTGAAAAAAGCACAGCTTAACAATGGCAAACATGGGCAAATCAGGAGCAGGGACAGCAGTCGTGTGCGGTGTCGTTTCAGTGCTGTGCCTGGCCACAGGCGTCAGGACACTTGCGAACCGGCAAGTATTCACTGCGAAATGATAAAGCCAATTCAATTAGCTCGAAATGTTAAAATCAAAATGTTCGCTTATTTACTATGAGGATAGCCAAAGATGCTTGGATTGATAACGCCTTCGTACAGGACATTATTGGGAACTTCATCGTACAGCTGCAGCAGTATTTCATACTCATTGTTCACTATGGCTGCCTCGATGATGTCTTGCATCTCCGCGGTCAACACGTATCGATGCATCGAGTTATTGATTAGCGCACTGTCCTCCACGGGATTAATGTTCTCCAGCTTGAAGTCGACATCATGCGTTTTAAGCAAGCCCTGAAATATGCGTAAAACTGGAACGTGCAAATTCGTTTCCATTTGAACTGTGGAAACGCCGAATGGACCCAGGTTCAGTAAGTCGCGCTTTATACTTTCCCACACAACGACAGCTTTCTGATCGTTGATGACCTGGACGACAAAGCTGTAGAAAGTGCACAACGGCAACACCTCAGGCTGTCCATCAGGTTCATCGCCATCGACTGCTGTGGCCCGCATGGAGATGCTCATGCCCAGATGGGCGGCTCGACTGTGCAGATCCTCGGATGCATTGTAGAGGGACTCGAACGTGATGAAGACCAAATTGGAGAAATGATTGTTCTTCAGTATCGGCAGTATGGAGTACATGTGCCAGTTGCTAACGGTTGTTATCTTTTGGGCCGTTCGCGTCTGGAGCTTCGAAATGTATTGCGGATAGAGCATGATTTGAATGTTGTTGATGAAGCGCTTGCTCTGAAACAGCTGCAGCAAGTCGCAATGGCCGCGGGACACGAACTCCAGCGTTTCCTCAACATATTGATCACCCCCACTCACATCCTCGCTCACATCCTCGTCTAAGGCAGCGCCCGTGCGTGCATCCCCACCACCTTCTTCCAGGTCCCGTTCTGAGGCGTCTCCACGTACTACTCCCACAGTGATCAAATCCTCTTTGCGATGGCGTGGAATGCGCTGATACAGAGTGACGATGAGCGGATTATCGCTGAATGTATTCATATCATCCACATTGTCCTGCATAATGCCCATCGCAAATGCCGGCCTGTCCAGCGTGAATTCGTTCTGATAGATAATCGTTTCCTTGGTATAGTGGTCGCACATCTTCTGCAGCGTGTTCTTCACGTGGTACAGATGCAGCTCCAGCGGATAGGAGACCACAGGCATGTGCAGTATCTGCTTCAGCTGCATGTAAAGGTAAACACGTTGCACAATGGGCTTAGTCTCTAAGTGGGACGGCACTACCGACCGTACGCTGCCATGTCCCGAGCGTCTCGACTTGCGCTTCGTTTGCGCTTTAGCCGACTTGCGAGTCTCCATTCGTTAAGCTTGATCAAATTACTATATTGATCAAAGTATTGATATCCAGGTCCTTTAGATGTGAGGTCATTTGCTGTGTATACTGTGTAACTAAGCTTTTTCAGTCTCACTTTTAAATAGAGAAAATTCCAAATATATATTTTTCTATATAATCACGGCTATAAGGCTAAAGTCAACGTAATGAAAATTAAATATTTAAGCACGCCTACACCAGATAGCTGTTCTATGTTTAGGTATTACATAAGGTCGCCTCGCACTCACTCCCACACGTCGAGCACGCACTTGTCAAAAATGTAACCACAAAACAGCAACATCAACAGCACGTACGAAGACAACAACAACAACAACAAGACTGCGACAATGCATTTTGGCCAAGGCCAAACCAACAGCAGCATCAGCAACACCAACAGCAACACCAACAGCAACAACAGCAACCTAGACACGTACTTGAACCTTTTTGTCCAACACTCAACTCTCGACAGGTGTTTGTAGTTGTAGTTCTCATCATTACCATGCACAAGGTATGCCAACTTTATGCCACTTGTTGTGACAGCAAAACAATTTAATAACAGCTAATGCTTATATACATATATGATAAATATAATATATATATTAAGTCATACAAATAAAAAATATATTTCGATTTACCAATATCAACTGCTGAAACGTTATTTAGTTTTTGTTAAAATTATTAATTATTCTTAAGGCTTGCATGCTTAAAGTTTTAATGGCTATTTTAGCTAGCCACATCATGGAACATATAATTATTGTATTTTATAGTTATTTAGATGAGCAGCAAAATTCAATTTAGTTCTCAAAAAAGTCTACTGGAAATTTCAAATATATTTTTTAATTTAATTTTATTTCAAATAAACTTTTGGTATATTACGAGCTCAAAATTCAAACATTATTCTTAGCATTTTTTTAATTTAAGCTAATATTTTATAATTTAAAATTAAAACCTAGAAGACAAACATATCATAGCTCTAAAAATTTGTACTGTATTCAATTAATAATAATTAAATGTAATTTAAATGAATATATTTATAATTTTGTTTACAGGCAAAAAACTATCAGTGTCCCATTTAATGTTAATTTTTTTATAATTAAATTTAATTTTAATTTGAATTTAAGCAGCAAAGAGTATACAAGCGTTCAGCTAGCTTCACTGAATTTTTGGTTCTTATGGCTGTTTGTTTTTGTATGTTTTGTTTGCCAGGTGGCGAGTGCTCTAAAATCCGCTTTGACAGCTCGCCTGTCAGCTGAGCCCAACCAAAACGGCCGCCTGTGGTGCGGTATGTATGCATGTGTGTCGGTGTGTATGTGTGTGTGGGGGCGTGTGTGTTTGGCTGGTTGTTTACTATTTTGTTGGAACTCCAAACAACATATGCTAATGACTCTGCTGCCGGTGCTGGTGCAGGCACTGCTGGGGGTCTGGGGGACTGTAGCAGGCCACTCAGCTGGAGGCTTTCAGCTAGTTTAAGGCCAACTGGGCACCCACACACACACACACACGCACACACATTGGCTTCATCAAAATGAAATTTGCTGGCAAACACATAACGTAAAAGTACTTGGCAGGTACGCATCATGCTCAAAGGCTTTAAAATGCGCTTTTAGTTGCAGCACTCGTTTAATGTGGCTCGTATGCAAATCAATGCTTTGCCCCGGCCTCATCACGCATACGCCATGTGCGCCCAGGCGACAGAGCCTTTGCACCTGACGCAACAAAATCAATTAGACACTTGCATGCGAGGCATTTGAGCTGCACAGCAACTACAGCAACAACATGGACAACAGAACAACAGAGCAACAGAACAACAATTGCAATTTAATGTGCTGCCATTGCCTGCTAATGATAATGTTGTTATGTGCCTATTATCGTTGTTGTCTCTCTTGTTTGTGCCATGGCAACTGGAGACGGAGCTGCAACTCTGCAGGCACACGATTCATTTGCATTTCAATGCAAAAGCTTCTGTTTGACTACACATATGACGACTGAGCGGCGCAGATAAGAGTTCTCGCACTCTCTCTCAGCACATTTCTTAAATTTAACAGCTTTAAAATACACTGTTGCTCACATTTTCTACCCTCCTGCCTTGACATACATCATCTCTTCAGGAACAAGCCGGCTTCATTAAAAAAACTCTTACATGACTTAACCCAATTTCAAAAGTAACCCACTCAACTGTCCATAAGCTCTAAATAAGTGAAGCCCTACCGATGCAAACAATCAACTTGGTTAGTGCAACAACGCAAGTGCAACCTCAAGCAATTTCTAATCAAAATCTGTTAGTAAACGTAAGCGTAGTAGCTTATGTGAAAATGCCAGGGAATCTGTTCAAAGCAGATCAAGTTAATACCAAAATAGCTGAGCTCAGCGAAAACAGAAACCACAAAAACCGCACATAACTCTACGCTGAAAGCTAATCATATATACACACACACACACGTGCATACTCCAGCTGAGGTTTTGAAAAAAACATGTGCGAAAAATGTGTTAAAAAAATTTCGGAAAAAAAAAACTAGCAGCTGTGTCGTCGTCCCGCTTTGTCGCTGTGCCACATCGGCCTTGCCCGAAAGTATGCAAAAGATTTTGCCGCTGCCACACTGAAAATGAATTTAACAAAGCTAACGTTAAATTTACACCGGTTTCGGGACTTGGGGTCGAGGCTTTGCTGTTCAGGTTTTTCGGCAGTGCTGCTGCTGGCGGCATGAAATTTTCATTTGAAATTGAATATGGAAAAAGCCGACGCTCACGCAACGCCTGACGACGCCCGACGACAGCTGCTGCAATTGACAATTATTATTATTGCTCAGTGCGAATGAGAAGCCGCACCGAGCCAGCAGAGCAAGGCAGCTGGCAGCTGGCAGTTGGCAGCAGACATCAGACATCAGACAGCTGGCTTGGTATTCATATGATGGCCATGCAGCTCATAGCCAAACTCCAAATTGCCTCGTTGGCTTCAATAAAATCCAATGTACGCATTAAAATCATTTAAATTCTATTGTTTTTCCTTTCGTTTCACATATGCATTGTTTTTATTTTATATCCCCTTTCTTTTTTTTTTTTTGTCTCGCACAGACACACAAGCTGGTGGGCGGGTCCGCAAATGCCACGTAAGCTGTTTTCGTTACGGCTTTTGGTGATATCAGCAAATGCATATTTAATGGCTTACGCGGCGTATGAGCAATGCGAGATGCGAGTTATCTGTTGCGATATGCTTTGCGCCAAAATTTAATGCCTCTCAAAGCGCCGTAACTCATTGCAATTAAAGCGAGAAAATCTAATGAGTTGATTTGTGTGTAATATTATGAGATTTTGTCTAAAAAAGAGAAGATGGCTGCAGTCTAAGAGCTTAAAAATATTGATGCACATTGAAGATTATTCGAGAATATTGATAAATCGACTAAATATGATTTAAATCAGGTTTAAAAATGTACTGATGAGGAAAGAATATAGTTGAGTCTATTTCTTCTTTAAAAAAGTGTGACCAAACAAAACTAAATATATTTAAAATAATTAAATTTAAGCTACAGTTATCGCTATCGATAACGATATATTTTTTAAATATTTAGCAAGATCTGCCATGTATTTATAATTTATCATTTCAATCAATTTATTAAACATAATATTACATTAATTTTTTTAAGCGACTACATTTTTCATCTCTGTTTCAGTCAAATAATTCGAAGTAAATATATCATTTAGTATATACTTCAGCATTTATCCCAGTTTATTTTAAGACACTTGATATTGTTTTCCGCTAATGCAAAAGTATTGTTCGCCTTATCTGGAAGCCTTTATGTTTGCCAAAACGCCAAAAAAGTCTGCACGACGTTTGTGCCCACGCCACCTGTCCACGTCCGTCTGCTGTCACAGTTTTGCAAATGTTCAACGTCAGAATGCGCCTGAGCACAAGCAAAGGGTGAAGCTGGTAAATTGAGGAACGAGTCTGGCTTGTTTGCATAATGCGAAGCAGTCAACAGCCAGTGCACACAAAAACCCGCTCATGACACACACACAGACACACAGACAGTCAGACACCCACCCATGCACACCCACAATTGTGACATAAAAATGCTGCGGTTTTTATTTTACAATTCCATACGTTGTACTTTTGCTAAGGCAAGGAATTTTATGCTGACAGCAGCGAAATCGTTTCGGTAAGCAAAAAGGATTTTCGCTGTTGTTGTAAACGCTTTTTGCGTTGATTTGTTCGTTGATTTGCGTAAAGGCGGTGACTGCAACAGCGACAGCAGCAGCAACCGCAGGCGTAAAGTCGCGTTAAGCAAAAGTAAACGGCAAAGCCCCTTGCTGAATGCCAGGTCGCAACTTTATGGCCAAGTTTTTCATTTGTCGCATTTATAAATTATTTAAAGTGTCGCCCTCCTTGCCCTCGGTGCAGCGTATGTGCTTGAGGTAGTTAGTCACAGTTGTCTGTGTGCGAGTTGATGTATGAATCTGTGTGTATCATTGACCTCGTGACCTCAAAAGGGCTGGCGCACACATTCAACATTTATAGTAGACAAGCTGGTCCAGTGACATGACAAAACCATAAACAGTGGCTAAACAAGGTGCTTAAATTATGCCACAAGATCTCAAAACTGGCTGTAAATAACAAGCCAGACCGGACAGGGGGCCAGGGGCGCCCCACCATTCATATTTATGGCTGTAGATGAGTGTGCTGTCGGGGCCTACACTTCTCACACTGGCACAGCAGTGACATACGATGGGCATGCGTCGCCTGCCACAAAATGTTGCCACTTTGGTGCCCTCCTACAGCTGCGCCTTCATGTCCTGGCTTGTTGCTAGTTGTTGGTCTCACGCTTGGATGACTTTGGTTTTGAGCAATCAACGCGCAACTGTATGGGTGTGTGTGGGTGTGTGAGGGTGTGTGGCTGTTGTATATGTTTACTTAACGCTATTCAGCTGCCAACTGTTCGTGCTCATATATGAATATCAATCGCTTTTGATGCAGGCACTGATGCAAATTTCGCTGTTAAGCAGCTCTCATGCTGTTTGACCTGATGACACCCAGTAATCAAGGCATTGTTATATGGACATATTTGTTTCTTGAGTATTAAATGAGCTAGAC